TTTTTTTTCTTTTTTATATATATAAATCATATTATTTATATAAGGTAATATATTATAATTGTATTAATTGTATCAGTTCATATTTAGATATATATATATATTCATAATTATTAAGTAATTATTAATATAACAAGAAACTTTGTGATAAACAGGTAGCTGCTATTTTAGTGGAGAATAATGCATCTGTAAAAGCCACAACGAAAAATGGTTTTACTCCTCTGCACATAGCTGCCAAGTATGGCAATATGAATGTGGCAAAGATACTTTTGCAAAAGGATAGCAAACTTGATGCACAAGGAAAGGTTAGTAGATGATCATTTTTAAACAATTCATTTTTAAATATTTCATTTAAAAATGAATCATCATTTTTGATCAGAATCAAATGAAAATGAAACAATCCTAACTATTAAAAAAAGGAAAAAGAAATCATTAGAAATTATGTTCTACGTTAACTTAAACCCCATTTTGTAATTTAACACATAGAATGTAGAATTGTTATCAAAGGGATTTTAATTTTTGTACAAGCACCGTGTAAGCACGTATTTAAAAAAACTTTGATAAAATATATTTCTACTTGATTAAGTTATTTATTTTCTATTTCTATATGTTTAATTGTCTAATTTCTAAAAAAAAAATAAAACTAAAACATAGATAATGTTCTATATAAAAAATAAAGATTGAACTATAATTCTGTAAAAATTAATTTAAAAATTAGTATCTTATTTTGTAATACGTTAAATAAATTACGTATGAATTTGTTCGTTTGTTTTTTTAGTTACTTTTTTTTTAATTTCTATTTAAATATATTCAATACTTTCAAGTAGAAAATATGATTAAACGCGAATGGGGTTAACTATAATAGTTTCTATGTTATATATAATACGTATATGTATAAAGAATTTATTAATTTATTAATCATTTTTTTTAGAACGATATTACACCGTTGCATCTGGCTTGTCATTACGATCATCCAAATGTTGCCAATCTTTTATTGGAAAAAGGTGCATCCCCGCATCTTGCATCACAAAACGGTCATACACCGTTGCACATTGCTGCTCGCAAAAATCAGGTATTATAATAATAATAATAATAATAATACTAACAAAATTATATATATATATTTATAATTATTAAGTAATTATTTCTTATTGCAATTAAAAGATAACCAACATTAATATTTGATGCATA